TGGGTTCCATCTTGTTTTTTTTTTTTGGGTTTTTTTTTTTTTTTTTTTTTGGTTTCTGTGTGTAGCTTTGGAGCCTATCCTGGCACTTGCTCTGTAGACCAGGCTGGCCTGGAACTCACAGAGATCCGCCCGCCTCTGCCTCCCAAGTGCTGGGATTAAAGGCATGCACCACCAACGCTGGCCATTTCTATGAGCTACAGCCTTAGCAGCCACATTATTTAATAAGCTAACAACCCACTCTGTTTCAGGTGTTACATTTTTATTGAATTTAACCAAGAATTTTTAGATAGTAACTTAAAGAGCAGTAATTCTCAGTAATGAGAGATAAGAGGGTACACAATGATGAAGTTCAAAATTACAAATTTTGCTCTTTTAGTTCACTTACTATGAAAATTAAGCATTTATTTAATTATTAGTTAGATGATCAAGAGAAGAGAACCTCCTCCCCCATATGATGAATGACTAATACCTCTAGAAATTTAAACAGCATTGGCTCAGTACTTTATACCCTGGTTGTGATTATTTCTGTACTAGAAGTTGGGCTTGTTTTAATTTTTCTTCCATGAAGGAACATTTAACGTTGAGTTGTTCCAGCTAATAGATAAAAACAAGAACAGTTGAGCAAAAATAAAGCAAACAAATAAGAAAATTCTAAGTTCTGGGCTAGGTGTGTTAGCTCAAGCAGCAGCAATGGAACGGTGGCCCACCCATCATTCTTGGGAATTCAAATGCTGCAGCTCTGCGTTGGTGAGCTCTTGGTGAAAGCTGACAGGCAGAGTGTAGCCAGGGAGCTCTAGGTTCCAGCTGACATGAATTACTTTTTTTATCAGAAAGAGCCTTTCTCCTTCCTCTCTTCCTACCAGGAAGAAGCTTTTTTTCTCTAATTTTTCCTTTCTTCCCATTTCTCTGCCAGGAAGTTTTTTGGTTTTGGTTGTTTTGATTTTTGTCTTAGGAGTTGTTGTATTTATATCTATAATTCATGTAAATGTGCAGTTAGTATTTTAACCTTTTTCATTTTTAAGTCTGTTTCATCTAAAGGAGGCAAAAGAGAGTCATCTTCCAGTGTCTTGGCTTTCCTCACTTTTTTTTTCTTTATCTGAATTGATATTCTTATTTTTTGTGTGTGTGAAAAAACATTTTCCTCAGCTGACTGACAATTTCTAGTCCAAATGTCCTCCTTTTTAGGTCTCCGTTCTACATCAAAGCAAGCTTTCAGTGCAAGGGCTCCAGAGCATTTGAAATTGAATTACATAAAGACCAAATCTTTATCAGTATAGGTTCCCTTCTCTTTGATCTCTCCTCAAAGCTCTCAACACTTGCCTCCATACCATCAAGTTTTTTGTTATTGTTGTTTTTGTTTGGGTTTTTTTTTTTGGTTTTTGCATTTTTTTCAAAACAGGGTTTCTCTGTGTAGCTTTGGAGCCTGTCCTGGCACTGGCTCTGGAGACCAGGCTGGAGTCAAACTCATAGAGATCCACCTGCCTCTGCCTCCCGAGTGCTGGGATTAAAGGCGTGAGCCTGGTTCTGTCAATTTTAATCAAACACAAGGAGTTGCCTGAAACCAATAGCAATGATATTTAACTAGTACCAAAAGCTCTGTAAACTTCTTTCCTTTACTTTCACTCCATTTCCTTTTAACAAACACAATAATAACTGCATGCATTGCTGCTCATGAGATGGGATATTTCTCATGTTCCTGCCAACTTCCTGGAGTATCACATACATACTTGATCATACTTTACCTCCAGTCCTAATGTTTACCCTAATTCAGTGATTCTGCTAGATTTCTGCTACAGCATACCTCAATGTCTCCCTAAACTCTGATTAATCCCAGCCTTGATTCCTTCCTTAGCAAGATCAAAAGTAATGCTCTCTCTACAGAAACTGCAGGCTCTGTGGGAAAGCCAGCACAAATTGTTTCCATTCCCCAAGTGGAAAGTGGTCCTTTTGATGAATTTGGAAAAGAGGACAGTACCCACTGTGCTCTGTAATGAAAGCAGCAAGGTTCACTGAGGATGAAGATAAAACTTCTAACTGGTGACTGGAGAGATGCCCACTGGTTAAGAGCACTGGCTGCTCTGGTAGGGATCCTAACTTAGTTTTTCAGAGCCCTCATGGTGGTTTGTGCATGTGTGCATGCATATGTGAGCATCTTGTTCTGGAAAAACTCAGACTACAGCCTCGGGGAGCAGAGCCCCAAATGCAGTCTGTACACCAATAGTGTCCCTGACTGATGACCTGCATTGCAGCCTGGATGTCAGAAGATACAAAGGGCTACTCCCCATTCTGACCTGGTCCAGAGGATGAGAATCCTACTAACACCCTCTAGACAAAGTGTGTGAATGAGGTATGTTCCTATGAGACACAGTCTTCCATGTTCTCAGCGATAGGCCCACCTGTGTTAGCGAAAAGAAAATCTGAATGTGCTCCAGCTGTCAAGGCTGAATCCACATCAAAGGAGCCACAATGTGTGGTGACTTCCCTGGTAACCAGATAGATGGAGAGGTCACAATGTTAACAGTTGATAGAGGCTTCAATTCCTGAGAATTTCAGCTCAGCGATGACATCACATGCCTGTGCAATGACAGCATCCATGTGAGATGCTGTTTCCAGTGAGGGGACCAAGAGCCACAGATGGCTGGGCTACTCGTTCTGTTAGGTTTCACATTAGTTATCTTTCTTATTGCTCTGCAGAAACCCAAGGAGTAACAGGAGTCAGGAGTTTGCTTTGACTTACAGTTCAATGAAGAACACCTCATTATGCTGGGGGAGGCCTGGTGGCAGGATGAGAGGTCACAGTGATTCCACTGTGACACAGAGAGAGGTGAATGACCAATCCCCTCTGCTTTTGCTTTGTTTTGCTTTTTGTTTGTTTCTTTTTCCCCTGTCTGGGACCTCGTCCTATCTGAGGTGGGCTTTCCCACCTCAGTCTAATCTAGAAAGTCTTCACAAATATGCCCAGAGATGGGTCTCCAATCGACGATCATAAACTGTCACAACCTTCCAAAATCAAACTGCCCCTAAGCCCACCCTGAGGGAATCTGGAGATCCAGGTGCCCCACACTGTTGATGTAACAACCTCCATGCTGAGCCCCTGGAGATTCACTTTCCTGATAAGAGGGATGAACACAGTGTCTGCTGCTCACATCCTTGTGGACATGATGTTTTTCAACACTGCATTTGTTTCCCAGGATTTGTCAGTAAGGATTTTCCTAAAATTGTCAAAACATTGGAAGACATACAACAGAGTCAGAAATACACAGAGAGGTAATGATGGACCAGCCTGACCCCATCTTAAGATTACACATTATCTTGTTACAAGGTTAAAATAAGTTCATTCCTGTTTTCTGTTGAACTTGGATTTGACTGTGTCTTGACCCATTTTCTGGAATTAGACATTGTCTACACCCTATACCCTAACCTCCAACCTGATAAGATGTTCTGCTAAATAATTTTGAGATTTTCTGCCAATTTCATACATAATTCCTCTGAAAATCCACCAACTCTTGAAAACCCCCTAGCCTTGCAGTTTGGGGGCTCTATATAAACCCCACCTCATCCTGTGTTCTTTCCAATCCCAATTTAGGGAGACAGCCCTGTTTAACAGAAGATAAAGCTCGCTTAATTCAACTTAAAGAATTTGGGTAATGGGGGCTGGAGAGATGGCTCAGAGGTTAAGAACACTGACTGCTCTTCCAGAGGTCCTGAGTTCAATTCCCAGCAACCACATGGTGGCTCACAGCCATCCGTAATGAGATCTGGTGCCCTGTTCTGGCCTGCAGGCACACATGGAGGCAGGATGTTGTATTCATAATAATAAATAAATAAAATCTTTTAAAAAAAGAATTTGGGTAATGATCTTTATTCTCATTTGGTGGGATTAACAGTAATAGGAGAAATATAGAACACAGAGATGTAAAAGAAACACAGAAAAAAACAAACAACAAAGGTGTATACAGAGAAAAATGGAGAGAGAAGGCTCAGTGCATTGAAACAGACACAAAGAGTAAGAGACAAAGACAGAGAGAGCACACCATACAGACATACACACAGACAAGGAGATGCAGAGGAGAGAATAGATGGAGGTGACAGCTGAGGGGAGATGACTGTCATCAACTATATGTACCCAGTCACTTCTGAAGTGAATCCTAGTTTCCTTACAACATCAACAAAATAAGATTAAGTTAGATTTTTATCATTTGCAACCACAAAAATTACTTATATTATTGACAGTAATCTTTAAAAAATGTAAGTGAGCTTAAATCAATGTGACTTCACAGGACACATTTGAAACACCAGCAATGAGAGGTCATGGCATCTGTCCCCAACAATCCTAAGTGTTTAGTTGCACTGTCCTCACCAATCTGAGAGAGGCTGTGGTGGTGTGAGAACAGGACACTGAACAGCAAAAGTACGAGCCGTGAAGATGACACAGCAGGTTCCTGTCTCCTCTCCCAACCCACCCCACATGGAGCCCAGATGCTTCAGATCCTCTTTGGACCAGAGACCTCTACTTCCAGGCACTTTGGCTGGGTCACCTCACTCACCTCTGCCCAGTTAAAGAGACTCAGGATGTATATAATTCAGAATCATGTTTAATTATGAAAAAGAGGCAAATGTTTTCAGTGTATCTCTTCAGCAGCCTGTGTGGGGCAGTGGAAACAGAAGGCCTGGGGTCTGAATAGACTGTGCTGCAGTACACAGACTGTCTCTGGAATCAGCCCAGGAGCAGAGCCAAAGACAGAGAGCCTTGGGGCATTGAGGATCACAAGAGCTGAGCTGCTAAGTACACTGGCACCATGCTAGACTCTGAATCAGAGAGGGACAGGCAGGCTGGCACAGACAGGAACTCAAGGCAGGGACAGGCAGGTCTTACAGTGCAACAGCCAACTTCATCAAACACTCTCGTGAATCACTGTAGGAGCCCTGTGGGAGACAGAGAGAGGGAGTGGTCACAAAAGGAACCCTGGAGATGCCTGACTCTTCTTCTGGATCCCACAGAGTTAGACCAGGCCACGCCACCACCTTCCCCATCACCTGTGCAAAGGTAAAAAGCAGCTAAAGGGACACACAGCGTCACAGGACACAAATGTGTGTGGGGTGGAAGAGAAGCCACCACCCCCAGGGAATATGAAGCATCGATCTTTTTGGTAAGTTGGAGGGATTCATTAGTCTCTTCTGCAGGACTGCCAGCCTCTTCAGGCCACCATCAATGTCACAGTGTCCAGTGTGGGGCACAGAGAAGGCTACACCTTAGTGTCTAAACCCAAGGCACCACCCAAGTGATGGTGGTGAAGTCCTGCTTGGGGACAACCTCTGGAGCTTCCTGCAGACACAGACTGTGACACCAGCTGTGACACTCTCAACCCCACAGCAGACAGACTGTGAACCGACTATGTCAGCTACACCACCTCAGGCCCTCCCTCACACCCACACCCCTGCACCACCCCCCAGATAAGGGCTGAAGTATTTATTACCTGCTGGAGGAGGCCCACGAGGTCCTACAAAAGGAAGTCACAGAGAAAGGTCTTGTCAGAAAACAGGGGTCTCTCACAAGGCCCAAGGGGCAACAGGACCTGAGGCTTAGCTGAAGTTATTCTCTCATCCTGTGTTCACTGAGACCCTGAGCACCCCCGAAATGGATGAAGCTCCCACCAGAAGGAGGGAAAGCAAGGCCCAAGCTCTCTCAGGGGAAAGGAGGCAGTGGTGGACAGTGGTGGACAATGGTGGAGTCCCAGGATGGGCTCCACCATGGCTCTGTGGCAGTCACACAACCAGCAAAGTCAGATTCCGGTGTCCCCCATGGGGTCTCCTGGGTCCTCCCACCCCCAAACCAGCTCCTCCCCCAGACCAGCTCCTCCCCCAGACCAGCTCCTCCCCTCAGCACAGCTCCTCACCCGCCCAGCTGCTTCCCACAGGCCAGCCCACAACCTCCTCCCTGCTCCTACAGAGCACC